AAAGTCTGAAGTCTACTTTCCATCAATAGTGCATAAATTTGAACATGTTTTAACAATGACCACACAAGAGGAAAGCTCTTATTTACTTTAAATTGGTGTAAAATGTCTTCCCATGAAGAGGCAAAGTTTTTATTTGTTTGCATTTTCAAAGCTAGGCAAATCTTCAACTGTATCGTTCCCGATCATTGACATTGTCATTTCCCTATTTTATATGTGTTTTGCAGAAAGAATTTATTGGATTAGAACTTGATTGTTGAGTGCAATCAATATTATGTACCACTTTTTTTTGGTATAAAGCTCTGTAATGCTATGTTCATGCTGTGCTCAGTGTTGTACCTCCTTGCCCAAATACACATTTTTCACTCTTACTTCCTTGGAGAAAAAAATAACTACTGTTGGGTGAGGTACCTCCTTTTAGCAACATGAAACTTTTCTGTAAATGTTCTTTTCTTTGTGATACTTATTTCACAGAAAAACATACACAATTTTTAGAGGTGAGGAAAGGGAACAGGTGGGGATGAAGTGCAAAACACAGACTGTATTATGTGTGCAGAGGTCCTTAACCTGTGTTAGCACATAACTTTATAAACCGATGCAGATAGTCTGAAATAATACTGATTTTTCAAACTCAGCTCAAAAGTTTCCCAACAATCCAGAGACATCTGCGTTTTTTCTGCTCACAGAAAGGGGGAAGCCAAATGAATTGCAGGGAAGAGGTGGTGTGAATGAAATTAGTTTAGGGGAATTAGGCAAGCCCAAGTTAGTATGAGGAGAGTTGTAGGGAAGGGGATAGGGATGGAAGTAAGAGCATCTCTCTAGATGCTTGTAAGTCTGCCTTGCCAAAGCACCCTGTCATCTGAGCTTGAGACTTGGAAACACCCTTTTTCTCTAATGAAGAGATGGTTTTTAGGAAGGGGAAATAACTGGTTTACACATAAATACTCAAGAACAAAAGCAGTCACTTCTGTAAACCTGTGAATTAATGCTATGCCTTTTTTTTAAAAGGATCATTTCTTGGGAGGCACTTTAATGTAATTATAAGCTATCAAGAAATGGGAAAGAATTTTGTATTTGTATGTGGGCCTGAGTAAATAGATCCATTGAGAGACAGACAGAGCAAGTCACTTGGAATGCACTAGTCAACAGCAGAAATGTAAACATACTCCAGCTACGCTCTCTGCACTTGTATTTCAACATGCTGCAGAACAAAACTTCTATTAATGCAGGCTGACTGCTGTACTTGTTGGATTCAGTAGTGAGTCTCTCATGAAATCCAGTTAATTCACAGATCGTGGATCAGAACCACATTGTGTCTGCCACTCTGAAAACCCCAGGAGGACAAAAGCTTGTTGCAGAGGAGCCTCTGCTCTGTCTTAAAATGAGGTGCATGAAGTTGGATTGCAGAGCTAAGTAGGTTTGGAGCAAGCCAATAAAATGCTGAGGCCAGCAGATCTTTGTGTTCCAGTGTGTTTATACAACCTTATCTCATAGACAGGTAAATCTACCATGTATTAATCTTCATCTGGTACTAGTCCTAATGAAATAGCATCCACTAAGACTGTTGCTTTCTGAATTGTGATGATTATAGAAAGCCACTCTCAGACTGTTAGAACCTTAGCCTTTAAAAACTAGCTGGTTACTGGAAAAAACTGTATGAAACTCAAGCACAATTCAGTTGGTTGTATTGAAACTAGTCTTACTCTGACTGTAGAGGAGCAATATTAATTGTCTGTATTTATAAACAAAAGAACTCCCTTATCATATCTCTTGATGGTTTTTGTTTAATTTTTTTTTGTTATCTTGACAAAAGGAATGTGGGGGGGAGAGGAGGGGGTGTTGTTAGGGGTGTTTACCGGTGATACCAAGAAGGAAAAGCTTCATTGCAAACAGAGGGGTGTAAGATCTGTGTTCCAAGAGGCCCAACTATCTAGAAAGCAGGTCTGACGTGCAGCAATTTTTAGCTTGTGCTGGTGAAATATCTTGGCAAATGGAATGTCCTTGATTATAAAAGTCTTCTTCACTTTTTCGTTTGGTTGGACTGTGAGGCACCTCAAAAAGTAGCATTAGATACTGAGCTGCATGCTGAAATTCCCTTGCCTAATTATCTCCATTTTACATGTTTACTTGCACCATTTACAGGTCCTTCTTTGATATTGTGTAAATCACTTTTTTCTTCAGCTGCACGTTTATTATAAGTCAAATGAATTATTTCAGCCTCTTGCCCAGTCACTTGATTGGGAGCTATTGGCGTGACAGCGACATCATAGTACAGCACAGTAAAATCAAACTCTGAGTACTAATGTCCTTACGTGTTTAAAAATAAAAGGTAAATATCAGTTAAATAAGACAGATGAACCTTAATTGCTAAATGTTTATAGAAGGTTTTGAGAGGGTCAGAGGCAAGGTCCTGTGCATGTGCAGTATTTTATTAAAATATTTAATAAGCAGATTCTCTGACCCAATAGAGGGAAGATGCCTGTCCACTCTTAATTGTCCCTACCTGTAATTATTTCTATAGAACATAAATTACATATTGTACAGCTTTATTCTGTTTTCAGAGGATAATTACACTAGAAATTCCAGCCTTCTTTCTGTGGAGGGATCTTTTTCTCAGAAGCCACGCCTTGTAGCAGTCTGTTTTTCATTTGAGAAGGGCTGAATTTCCATTTAGGTCCACAAGTTTTTATGGGTTGGCACCTTTCATCCTATACCTGGATGGATACAGGTAAAATGAGAAGCCCATGTAAGTCATAATAATTCAGTCTGGAAGCTGATGATATGGGAGTAGAAGCTTTTTTTTTGCGTATGTAATCTGTTAGAGATTACTCCTCATTTCATACCTGCTACTGTAACAGAGAGAAGCCTGTAATTCCTGTTGTAGTCATCTGAGCATCTCCAGTGGTATCCCTACGCTGAGAGGGAACTTGGACTTGGTGTCAAATGAGGCAAGGCAGGATGCAAAACGGACTCTACTAGTTGCTCTGTCCATGAAATTGGAAGCTTTTATGGATATATTTACATGAGCATTTAAGGAGTTTAATAAACAGAAAGGCAGGGTCTCAAAGTAAGGTTCACAACCCACTTTTGACATACTAGGAGGGACAAGTAGCAAAACATTCTCCAACATTAGAGACTGATGGACCCCATATATTTTCAATTTCCTAAGAGCAAACTACTGTTTGAGAAATGTTCCAGCTTTCTGATCGTCACACTCCACTCTTTTTAAACATCTGCAATTTGCAAAATTATGTTCCCATCTGAGTAATTTTAGTAAGAGGGTAGCAACAAGGAAACTGAATTCAGTTTAAAAAAAAAAAATCCCATTCAAGTCTTACTTCTGCTGGAAAAGTTTGTTTGTTTTTTTATGTAGCTGTGGTGTACTCAAAGCTTTTTTTTTTTCATCATTGCATATGCAAAATCCAGACCTGCAGAACTGTTCCATGTGGTGAACAGTCTGCTAAACCCAGACTGTTTTGCCTGAGTAGCAGATTTCCATATACCTCATTATGAGTTTGGGATTTTTTTGATTTATGTAGACTCTGTTCCTTCAAAGAGATGTATGACTGTAGACCTTTATACCTACTAATGTGATTTCTTATCAAGTACTGAGGAAAATACCAGGGCAGGTCCAGTTGGAGAACATGAGCATTTTTTTGCAGAGAACTTTCTTTCTAACCAATTTAATTTGTCAGGGAAACAACATGTAAACAGGAGGCCACAAAGTTAGTTAGCTTTTGAAGTTTTTAATGGTGGCCAGTGAGTTTTTGGATGGTTAGTGAATGATGTAATCCACAGTGTGTAATGCAAATTCATATCCTTTTAGATTGGTAAGGGACTATAAGAAAGATTTAGGTCAGTACTGCTAAAAGAAAGTAGCATGGACTTTACCTCATTGTTGCCTTATACAGCCTGATTTTAATAAGTGTTAGATCTTTCCACACCAAAGAAGCAATTATCCTCAGTAATAGCAGGTGTGCTTGAGTCTTCCATCCTGTGATAAAGGCAAATGATTAGGGTACCTAAATACTTCTCTGAAGTTACCTTATTTCTGTGGATTCCTACCACTCAGATTTCCAGTCTGTGCATGGACAGAGTTAATATCCTTGTTTTTATTATTTCCTTCTGGGAATGAACAAAATCATAGAATCAGGGAATATAATTATGAAACAATGTAGAGTGGAGAGAGCATCTGAAGGTTATCTGGCCAAGCCACTCCTCAGAGCGGGGCCAGCTTAGATCAGTGTGCTCATGGCAGTCGTTCAGCTGAGCTTTGAGGACCACTGAGCACCACTTTGGAGGAGCCGCTGGCTCCATAATCCCTATAATTTTTCGTTAGATAATTGAAGGCATCAATATGCCTTCAATAACAATGCGCCTTAAACTCTCCTCCTCAACAGCCCCACCTCCCCAGTGTTCTCTGAAGACTGAACAAACCCATTTCTTTCAGCATCCCCCTTTACGTCATCGTGTACCTAATAATCTTTCTGATCCACTGCCCTCTTAATCTAGCAGGTTCACATCTGTGTTGTACTGGGAGGTCCAAAACTGGAGTAGATGATGTCTTCAGTGTTTGCATCTGGCCATCTCTTACTTCCCAGTCAGAATTATTTTGATTATGCGTAGCTGTTTTGACTGAACGTGGCTTTTGGAATAATTGAAGACTTCAAGTCTCACACAACTAACAAGATACCTGAACTATAGTACTCCACATCTTACTGATGAGGCCTAAGGAACAGAACTGTTCACAATGAATAAGCTGTTTCCTGAAAGAATGCTTTGCATTAGATGCTACTCTTAAATGGTTTATTTACAGTGGGTCATGTTATAACCCGTTTTTGTAGATGATATCACTCAATATTTCTTATTATCACCACAGCATAAAATACACTTCCTCATGGCCCACTGACTTTAAGCATAGGGAAAGAGGACTGTGTAGAAATCATTTTCAAATTCCAGGGACTGTATGTATAATGTACTGTTAAATTAACTTCTATTTCTAGTGCGCTTGGAGGATCATCCGCCCTTCACATCCCAGCCTTTCCTGGTGGAGGTTGTCTTATTGACTATGTACCCCAAGTATGCCAGCTACTTACAAACAAGGTAAGTTAGTAAAGACAACTCAGTATTCCTTTCCCTTATGCTCTGTACTGCATTTCCATAGACATCGTTATCCTTCTGCCAGCTCATCCAGGCGAGGCATACTTAACCTGAACTACACAGGGTGTATCTTTTTTGTAAGAGCTGAGCAGCTAGGCAGGACATTGAATATAATGACTCTTTTAGGTAAACAAGTGAGGTTGGGGTCAGATCCTGGAGCGGTTTTTTTCTTCATGTGACGTGTTCCAATTTAGGATAAAATGTTATTGTATAACACTGCATTGTAGCATATTATTTTGTTAGTAAATACAAATGTGTGGTTTGCATATTATTTTTCCAGTTGGGAGTTCTCATACCATAGTCGTCACTGTAAGTTTTGAATACTTTCAGTGATTTTTCTTCTCAGATGTTTCATTCAAATGAACTGAATCAGCAGTCTGTTTGGATGTTTATACAGTAATAGCTACTTAGGATTGCTGAAAAGGTTGTGTTCCTGTTAGCTTACTGTTCAAACAAAAAAGAACAATTACAGTATTTTGAAAGTTTCTCCATTATTTGAGTGTACTTTTCAAAAGAAAACTTAAGAGTCAATATCTAGAAATGTACCTATTACAGACTTCACATTTGTTTATTATTTTTACTTTCAATTATCTAAATGAAGAAAATAATTTTATCTTTTAGAAAAAGTTCTTCAAAATGTGTTTCCATAATTATATTGGCATCTATCCTTAGAGTTGTTTTTGTTGTGGTTTTCTGTTAAAATTACTTTCTGTTTTTAAAATCTGCAAGCATACAGGACTGTTTTTATCCTTTCTTAAACAAAGTCACTTGAGCAAACTTATCGTATGTTTTCCTTTTCCCAAAATAACATTTCAGATCCCTACACAAAGCCTTCAAAATAATTGTAGTTTTTTATAAAATGAATATTTTTCAATGTATAAATAGAATTCAACTTTAAGGTATACAAGATAGCTCCCAGCAATGAATGTATCAAGGCTTTTTCAGTAATTTTAAGAAAGCATTTGCCAGCCAAGAAATTCTAGTATTGCCATAGCCAAGAAAATACTCTTCCTGTTCCTTTCAGCGAAAGGGAAAAAATGGTTTCTAAAATGCTGCTTTTCTTTCTGGGAAGCAAAGGAATTTACGTAGGGTATCACATATGGAACTCCACCATAAGTACTTCAAGTCGCCAGTTGTAAAGCAGATGCTCTTGCAGCCTCACAACACATGCATTGTTTCTGTTACAGGTCAAGCCCTGTTCACACTGTTCTCCTAAGTAATGCCATTCAAATCAATAAGAAAACATACATGGTGCAAGGAGAATTTTGCCTTAAGTCTTCCAAATTTAGCGTTGTTGGATTTTGTCTGTGCCAGGATGGAAGTCTTTCAAAACCCAGAATGCCTCAGAAGTTGATGCTCGCAGTTGAGTAGGTGGATCCCTGAGTCAGCATGAAACCGGTGACAGAGCTTAGTGTTCAGAAGATTTTGTTGGAGGTGCAGTCTTCAGAAAGCACCCAACGTCGACTGTGAAAGATACTTATTTTTGTCTTTTCTTTTATAACCGGAATGTTATTTCAACACTTAAACTACTGTCGGTTCAGGTAGCTGTGATTTGTCTATCACAGCTTTCTACTCAAACTTCAGTAAGGCAAGGCTGAGCATTTCTTTCCTTCGCTCTTTATCTTGTGCAGTTAAACAGCGCTTCAATCTACTGTGACAAACTTAAGTTTCACTCAAAAGTGAGTGAAGAGATTTCTCTGCAAGATGTTCTGTGTGCAAGATCCAGGGCTTGTTTTAAAGGCATTTTAGGATTCTTTGGGGACATCACACAAGCTAAATGTAGGATTCAGAACTACTACCATGTCAAACATAAATCTTCCTTAACAAGAGCTATATGACAAACTGGGATTTGGCTTTTTTTATCTTTTTATAGCTCTGGATTTGTTTTCTTCTTTCTTTTTTCAGGTACAGTATGTTATTCAGGGATACCATAAGAGAAGAGAGTACATTGCAGCTTTCCTGAGTCACTTTGGAACGTAAGTTTTCTTGCGCAGCATTATTTTCTGTAGCACTGGGGGAAAGTATTTTTCTACACGTGGTTTGTGGCTGTGTGACTGCTGTCCACTGGATAAGATGAAATCTAGTCATTTTTCACAGAATGATGTGTATAGGTTGTCTCTCTGTAGCAGTACTGTAATGAAGGTCAGCGTTACTTCGCTTCTGTGCCAGTTGCCCATCTGATTTTAGCAGAAAACAGCTGATGACGGGAAAAGGCCAGTAGGGATTCTCTCCTTGTTCAGAAATGTGCTCATTTCTGAATAAATGACTTGAGGGGTCTTATCGTAACTGAGGTGGGAGAATGGGGAATCAGGTGTAATCCTTGAAGGAGCCAGAAACCACTGCTTGGCATAAAAATGGGACTTTGAGACCAACTGCTCCCACCACCAAGCAATATTTTGTCTCTCAAGAGAAGAGGCTGTTGGGTCATGTTAGATTCCTGCAGATCAGGCAGTGGCCATGGCCAGGCATGATGACACATGACCTTCACAAATCAATTAACCAGGGCTACCCTGGCTCAACACTTCGGTTTCCCACCTCAATTCTGACTAGAGAGAAAGTCCAAGTCTTTACCTGCTTGTGATGAGTGGTTTCTGCTTCCGAGGAGTGATGCCAAATGACACAGATATTCAGAAGCCCTTCAGATCTCGTGTCTCTCAAGTGAGCTTAGGAAAACAAGTGGCTTCTAGCATGGGCCCAGATTTAATACAACAGTAAGTAGATAACAATAACTTGAACTGGATATACGAGTGGACAGTCAATGCAAGCTCAGTCTTTGTCAGGACAAGGTATTTCCTTTTCTTCTGAGAAAACTACCATATAGAAATGGCCAGGTGTGCCTATGATTTTATTACATCTACAATGTGGTTCGTGAGTACTGATACTGCTTGAGTTTTTTAGAGAATATCAATAATTGAAACTTCTAATCCATCTATTGAACAAGTCTTCTATATTGAATTTTTTGTATGCTCTTGTGTTTTGTTTTTATATATGCACTTTTCAGTTTTCAAATTTAAATTCTACTCAGCCTGTATATTTTCAGTTTTACCCTCTCACTTACTAGAGAGTTCATAAATTATCTTAATCTGAGTAAGATACAGGGAATTTGTGTGTCCACAGTTTTGCCAGTTTAGGACTGCAGATATGTTAGCTGATTTCCTTTCATTCTAAAGTGTGTTTATGTAAACTGAACATGGACTTTCTTTGGGTATGAAACTCCAATAACACAGCATAATTAAGAAGATTATTAAGATTAAATGTTTAATTTGCATTAGCTAGACAATTGTAATTGTTAATAAATTAAGCAAATACTGGAAATTTCTGAGCAAACAAACAAAAATAACAATTCCTGTAATATAAAATTTACATATTAATCATTCAGTATTAGAAGGTAAAAAATATATTAATTTTTTTGTTGTTTTTCTGTTGACAGCGGTGTGGTGGAATATGATGCAGAAGGCTTCACAAAGCTCACTCTGTTGCTGATGTGGAAAGATTTTTGCTTCCTTGTTCATAGTGAGTAACACTTCGCCTCAGGCGTAAATGTCTATCCTCTTGAAGATACAAGTTCAAAAGGGAAAAAATACAATTACAGGAAACAATTTGAAAGTTTTAGCTGTTTTTATCCAGTGCTTAATCTATTTTTTATGTGACCGTGACACTTAGAAAACACAAAATCCCAATTGTATTTGGAGATGGGGGGAATTGGAGAAGGGGAGAGGATCTCCATCAGTAGTGAAATGCCAGTTTTACAGAACACCAAAAGCATCCTGAGGAGTTTTTCTGGTAATTTGATGCAAGTTTAAGTTCATGGTTGTAACTTGACCTTTCAGAAGTGTCAGTAATGAGAACCAGTATTATACTCAACCTGGGAATACCTAAAATCTTCTGTAATTGTCAGGAGTTATAACTGTAAAGACTCTCTGTTTAATGTAGGGAAAATATATTACATGAGAAATACACTGTACTGTTATTAGGATCCAAAAGATATTCCTAGACTGAAACTGTATAGGCAAAACAGTCTTAACAATGTAGCTTGATTTGCTGTCCTTTGAAATTTTTAAATAAGGATTGTATTGCTTTCAAAAAGACATTCTTAATTAAATAAATAAATAGGAATTAGTCCATGTGGAAATTAGTAAATGTGGCTTTGTTACATGCTACCTTTTGCATTATTTTAAGTAGTAATTATTATTTTTCCCTGTGTTAAGGAGAAATTCACAGATATCAAAGGTATTTTTGTCTGGGGAAATTCGTTGCTCTTTAGTTTTGTTTGTTACACTTCTTATTTACATTTAAGAGAATTGCATTGCAATTCTGAGCAGCTGCAGCATTGGTGTTTGTTAACATTCTAGCACTGGTATCTTTGAGATTACTTCATTTTTGATTGTGGGCTAGCTTTCCATGTGGATAACTAACACTGTCTTGATGGCATCATAGAAATTTGTCCCAGAGTTTTTAATGAGGGAAATGAGGATTGCCATTGTTCAGAGAAGTTCTTCACCATGTGTTGTATTGGAGATCATAAAAAAATGGTCTCGCTAATTCCTTTCTTTTTATCACCTAAGATTACCACACAGTAATGACCTTAAGAGACCTAGAAAATTCAAGCCTAAAATTAAAACACTTCCATCATATTGTTATGATTTACCTTGGGGAAAAAAAAGAATTAAAGCTTATATTTTTGGGGAAATTATCCTTCTTAAATCTTTACTTACATTTCAACTGCAGTTGAGAATTGGTCACTGGACATTTGTCTTCTATGAGATGGCACTTCTTTATGTGCAGCCTTCTTGAAGATTTCCTACCTTTCTTACTCCCCAACATGTTTGGGTTAATGTAATCTGTTAAAATTTGTGTGGATTTGATTTGTGCTGCAGGATAATATAACTTAATACATGTTGAATCAGTTAGATTTCAGGGGAATCATAATTCAAATTTCTGCTAAATAACAGAGTAGGTTTTAACTGTGTAATATTCATAGTATTCAATTAAACTGGCATGAAAGGTACAATTATAACTGAATAGTTTATCACTATGTATTAACCCTGTGGCCTTAAAAATCATAGAGTGCCTTAGCTGTGTAAGCCATTGCATCACCCGCTTGTTGAACAATCCACTGCAAAAGCATTTATGTTCCATGCACTGAAGGATATTGCAATGAAAGGACCGAAACCTGCACTTCATTTCCTGAGTGAAGTAATGTAGGCTTTCATCTCTTAACCACTGACATAACTATGTATATTATGGTTGAATATTTAGCAAGCGTCTAATAAAATGTCTGGGAGAGATAGCAATAAGTTGAAAACTGCTCTGCTTCATATATTTAGTATAGTATGTAGATAAAATATTCAGAGGAGAATAAATAGGTCAGTATACAACAGGCACCATGGCAAATCAAATGAAAGGTACCATAGTAAATTTTACTGGCATCTAAATTTCAGTTAAAATTCTGTATTTAATTGAGATGGTAAGATTTATAAACCTTGACATGAGTTGTATTTCCTTTAAAAGATTCATTCAGAGATTTCAAAAATAACTTTGGTGTTGTTTTGCAGCTATTTGCGTTCCAAGTTAGAAACTTATTTGGGCAGTAGGAAGCAAAAAAACACATTAGAAGTAAGGTGAAATTATTCAGAATAGTTTTATTGAGTCAACTGAGTTAAAGGAGAGAGAAACAGGAAAATAGTTCTGAATTGCCAAAGCCCAGTAACCTTAGAACAATGTCACTTGCTAAAAAAATTGATTTGTGCTGTAGTCACAAAATGAAGAACAGAGTGTACTCTCTCTACCTTAAAACACCAAAGAGCTACCTAATCATTAGATTAATGAAGCTGCTGCAGTTATTATATTAGATCAAAGACCAGTCAAAGGAACTGTTGCTTTATTGGTTTAGTCTTAAGAATTAATCAAGTGCTTTCAAATACAAGACAGAAGAAATAAACATGTAGAGAAGTTCATGCATCCACACAGGAAAGGAAATTGTTAATCACTCATACTGCTTTTGATATTGATACTGTTTATGAGTAAGTCTCAGTATGAGGCTTTGTAAGTAAACTTCAATAGACTACCAATTTCTTTCTCGTTCATGAATCAGCTATGATTATTTTTTACAGGTATTTCTTCATATTCTTGTTCTTCCATACAGTCTGTGTATTTATACCATATATAAATCATAGTATTATTCAGGTGGAAAATACATTTAAGATCCAGTCCAGCCATTGATGCTACAGCCAGAACAATATTAGATAAAAACACGTTACATTACCCATACATAATTAAGAATTAAGTAGCCTTATTGGTATAAACACGAGAATAGGACTCCAAAGCAACCTTTATGTGGGCTTTTCAAAGATTAATTTTTATCTTGCAATATTTTTAGGTTATCAGCACAAAGGAAACTGACAGAAGTTGGACTGGTTGCAACAGCAAATGAAACACTGCTTGTAGTAGTGATTTTTAAGATTTAAGACATCTTGGAAAAGACAAACATTAAATTAAGAAAGATTTGTTTCACTGAACAGTATTTCAGGGGATGGAGAATGATTTAAGCTTCCAGCATTTGTATTTCAAGTTGTTTGGAGGGGATCTCAGCCGAGGTAGAGTTGGTGGGAACATTTGCTGGAACTGACTTTGACTACTTGTGAGGGATTTTGGGTTCTGTGTGTGTAGTGCCACTGACCAGGAGGTCCAAAAACAAGGGACCCAGAGCATTAATTGGATTATAGGAGGCTATACCTATGAGTATCAGGCTTTGGATGCACACCTGCTTCTAGATTCAGGTTTTTTTGGTAGGAGTCATCAATGCCAGCTTTTGAGGCATTCCTGTTTGAATGTTGCTATCTGCACACATTTTTCAGAAGAGCAGTTTGTGCCAGTGCAGTCAGGTTACGTGGTTTGAATTTATGGCCTTAGCTAAACAATTGGGGTTCACATAAACCACTTTTGGGTCTGGATTAGCACATCTGTCCACAGCCTCAGAAAGCAGCTTGGAAAATAAAGACACAAGGAATTTTTGGTAACCGTGTTTGTTCGATGAGGCTTAAGAAGAGGGCAAAAAAATATGACATTTTGGGAAAGAGCATTAGTAGCTGGGAAGGCAAGTTTACACTACTGTGCAAAGAAAGTGTGGTTTATTCCAGAAGTGTTCAGAGAAAAAGGAACGTATGCCCATTTGCTGCAAATGAACAAAATTGTGTTGAAGAATTAACTCCTTCATTCTGTTCCCTTTCCAAACAGAACTAACTCATTAGGCCTCATTCAGTAGAGCATCAATAATCCTTATAATGTAGGTGAGTGTTAAGTTTTCAGGCACCTAGTGGAGTTTAAGATGTTATACCTGCCCTTGAAAGGAGATTGCCCCACCTCTGGAAAGTCAACGGAACAGAGCTAGCGAGCATTTGTCAGACCCTTCATCTATTCCTCCAGCAGCTGTTTAAATAGCAAGTTACACTTTGATGTAGTAAATGGCTATCTTGGAGGTTTGGTAAAGTCTTAAATATGAAGTTTTTTCTTAGATGAACATGTGTCTGATCACTTTGTGTTTGCTATTACTAAAAAGTCTCGTTTGGCTCACGTACCACTAAATACTCAGGATGGAATCAAAGGAACACAATGTTTAAAGTACTCTTAATGTCAAAAATAAAATTATCAGCTTTCAATAACAATTTCAAACTAAATCTAGTTGGCAGAATCCCTTAGAAATAAAGGAGAAAAATATGCCACAGAGAAAAATGATCAGCAAAAGACTCATTAATTTTCCAAATGCTACAGTTCAGTCCTGTGATTAGCCCCTTTCTATGCCTATGCCTAGTTTAGTGTGCCTGTGACTCCAGCCACTTTTCCACCAGTGCCTAATCCAAAGATCCAGGGTAACTGCAGCTTTCATTGACTGCAGTTAAGCAATATGCTCTTCACTGCATGGAAAATGTCACAGAGAATGCTTTGTTTTGTGTGATTAAAACAACGTACAGAGTTTTGAAGATACCCCCACTGCTTGGGGTATATTTTGCTGTAGGCAGAATGACATGTCCCTCAGGAACATTGAAGCCCAGATTCAAAGAAATGCATGGAACCAACTAAAAGTACTGAGACAGTCAGAGGAAAAGACTGGAACCTAAAACTAGTTTGTACAGAGTGACTTGAAAACAAAATGAACACAGAGAAAGAGAAAAAGAGGAAAAGAAAACCTCCATTTTCAGGTTTCACTTGCATCCGTTGTGAATACCTACACAGATTTTATTGTATATAGGTATTCACAAACTAATTTTAGGTTCCTATTTGTAATTGCCGAAAAAGGGAGAATGGACTCTAGGCAGTTAATAAAACTTGGTACAGACAGCAACAACCGGAAACAAGTGCTGTGATAGGAATGAGGCTCTACGAGTATGTTATGATGGCCTGATGTGGGTGGACTGGAAAAGTATTTTAAAGTGTCACTTTTCTGTGGATATTTCTTTTTTAATTTCTGAGAAATGCATATATTTGCCATACTTTTAAAACTGTAGTATATTGCT